GAATGGGGAGAACCAACGAGAGACTAGCTGTAGGTGTTTGGACGGGCACATTGAACTCTAATTTCCCACCAGCAAGAAGAATGAACCAAAGCCTCAGCATGCCGTGCCTGAACCAGACTAGGGTCTGAAGCAATCCTGCGGGATGTCGGCCAGGTCACAAGAAAGCGAGGGGAGAAAAGGGTGGAGTGTGTAGGAGGGTGTAGCGTGTGGCGGAGGGAGAGGTGGAGTCTGGGGGATCTAGGGGTGCAGGGGTGGGAGGGGGAGGCAGATGTGGGGTCTATAGGAGCCTGGGAGGCAGGTGTGCGTGTATTCATCCCAAAGAGGGTGAGGGAGTCCATGAAGAGCCTGGAAATGGGGTAAAAGAGGAAGTGGACAGACGCCCCCCCCCCCACTCCTTTTCCCCAAGGTCTTTTCAACCATCTCTAACTCAGGCCACAGGGCAGGGGAATTACAAACCTCACGCGCATCACCGCCTGCTCCGGACCCAAGAGAAACTAGACGGAGGATAGAAATCAGGCAAAGGGCTCAAGGAGGCTGAGTACCTGGTCTTCTCGCTTAACTGCTCCCTCTGAGTCAGGAGGGGGAAACAGGGGACCCAGAAGCACAAGTGAGTCTGCAGCCCGGCTGGGCGGAAGGGGCTGGTTTCAGAGCTCGCTGAGAGAGTCCCCGAGAACCCCCAGAACCCCCAGAACCGAACCGAGGCAACTCACCTGTCCACTAGAGAATACGAACACAAGAGCTGCCCCAGCCGCCGTCATCCCCCAGGTGACGAAGGTCCCCAGCAAGGCCTGGGACACAGGGCTGTGGCCTTGGAGCATATGCTGGATACAGCTGTGTGCAGAGGAGCACGAGAGGGTCAGCACCGCGGCCCCTCCACCCGAGCTGGCCCACGTCCGGGCTGCTGGCGTGCACCCTTCCGCCATCCATCCCGCAGTGACCTCGATTGACCCGGCGCAGGTCGGCCGGCTTCATCCAGCTTCTCCCCGGGTACTGGAAATCATCTAACTCCAAAAGGAGGGACATGCGGACACACAGGCAGATGCCAGAGGAGCAGACGCCACGACAGAAGGGACAACACTGGGAAATAGCTCCGAAGAGAAGCACAAAGAATGTGAATTATTTAGCCTGGAGGAAGGGCGCATGGGAGGGTTCGGCGACGGCAGCCTTCCAGCACATCCTGCCTTTTCTACCTGGCCTTGCCTAGCGTCCATCAGCGGTTCTGTCTCCTCCAAACACAGGTGACTAGCCCCGATTCCCTCTTGAAGCTCTTGCACCTACATCCTGATCACACTTTCAATAGCTCCCCGGGGCAGTTCCCACGGCGGTTCCCAAGGCCTGCAAAGGGTACACGCCATAGACTGACCTGCAACTAGCCCAATAACTGTTCAACTACTGCACCCTGCGTGGGCATCGTATTCCAACTCAACCCAATTATTCCCAGAACCTTTGACAAGCCCCAGACGGCCCTACTCCAAGTCTCTCTTTATCCGGTTTCCTCCCCGCATGCCTTCCTCCCCACCCTCCAGACATCAGACCCAGTGAATCCTCTGTTGCCCACCTAACACCAAATTCAATTCCACGCTCCCCTGATTCCTCTCCACTCCCGTCCGAGGACACACCTTTGGTGTTTTCTTTGTGTGGGCTTGCCTCCTTCATCTTTTATATCATTCGTTGCTTAAAAACAGGGATGATGTTTTTTCACACTTGACACCCCTGTAAAATAGGGCTTGCTGGCACCCCAAAACTATGTGTTGAATTGAAAGGGGCCAGCTTAACTTGAATAGGACACTCAGCAAGAACAAGGAAGCAGAGACCCAAGGGGCATTACCCCCAGTCCACTGAGCACGCCTGCTCCCAAAGCTGGGGAATCTCCTCTAGACTTGACATGTTTTCAATTCTAGCTCTAAAATGACAGGGAATCAGACGCTCCCTGTGGAAAGTTACGAGGCGGAGAAACCTGTTGGTTGAAAAGCCCTGTGTTTTGGTTCATAAGCACTGGGGGTCAGGGCCTCATCTCAAAGGGCTCATTCAGTTCACCCCCCGCCCCCCGCCATCTTCCAGCAACCACAGGGCTGGACACGACCCCGCTGGGCTCAGCCCTGCCAGGCCCTAGTGGTCTGAGAGGAGCCAGCAGCCTGAGCTTACACATCAAAAGCTGAAGATTCTGCCTCTGACCCTGAAAGGAAACCAGGGCAGAGGGTGGAAGGGCCCTCTTATGCCACGAGGGTCAACAACACAGCAGGATTCAGACCTAGGAGGGCTGTGAGTCCAGGTGAACCCAGATAAGCCCAGGTGAGCCCAGCTGTGCCCAGGCTCAGCCGAGGTGCCAGGAAACCTCGGAGAGAAACAGAATCTCTGGATTCCGATTGGGTCCCCATAGTCTAAGTGGACTTCAGAATGATGACTGCACCAAATTTAAAAAAAGCAAATATTAGGAAAAAACCATCTTTTTACATATGTCATCTAGTTAAGGTACCCTACAGACAATGGTTCACGTTTGTCTTTAAACAGAGACATCCGGATCATTACACCAACCTTCTCTTTCTAGCTGTTCGCGGATAAAATTTCAAACGGCATTTACAAAGAAAGGCACGTAGCTATCATCTCCTCAGTACTTAACGTCCAAGACAGGTCATAACAAAAAAACAACTTTGTTTTTCAGCGTTGAATGTGCCTTTTAATAACTACAGAAAAGAGGAAACGGTTTACATTCACCAACGGGCCAAAGTCAACATGGATTTTGTGGGCTCGTGGGTGTTCTTGGGGGCTAGCGGGAGGGGAAAACACCCTTCCAAGACCCTATTTACACCCGAGCACCCTGAGATGTAAGAAAAAGGGACACAGAGGGAAGACCAAAGCCGCCATCCTTCCCATCCCTACAACAGCAGATTTACCGTCAGCAACGCAAGCTCAGTGCCCCTTGGAGAAGTTTCTTCCATTTGCTGTTTTAAATCCTCACTACTCAAAGGGTGGTCCCAGAACCAGCAGCGCTAGGCACCCTTAGGAGCCAAGTTAGAAATGCAGAATCTCAGGCCCCACCCCAGACTTGCTGAATCAGAACCTGCATTTTAGCGAGTTCCACGGGGGATTCTTATGCACATCAAAGTGGAAAGCACAGGTCTAAAACTGGAACAACTCCTACAAGACCAAGAACTTAGAAAGTGAGTTCTCCTGCCCTAGGAGGGATGAGCAGGGCCACCGCCACAGAGACCCAAGAGAACAGAAAGTGTTCTCCAGCAGGTAGACCAGGAGCGCCCTGGGAGCAGGGAAGGTCAGCCAGGGCACCTCAAAAGCCGCTTGTGCAATGGGGCTCAGACTTCCTCGTGAGCTGATACTAATACATAAACCTGGGCTGCTTTGCGGAACACAGGATTATTCTCTGCCCGCTCCGGCTTTAAAGATGCCAGCACCACACCACACATAGCAGCACACGGCTCCTGGCTGATAGAGGATTTATGTACTTTCTCTCCCTTTTAAACCTGTCACCCTGCTTCCAAGAGTCAGCTTCAAGATGCCAATGAAAAAGTTGCAGAGGTGGAAAGGGCACTTCACGAAACCTACATACACGTCCTGACTTCGAGAGTGGAACTGAGCAAAATGATTCGGGTTTGGGCTGACGTGACTGCGGAGAATGTTCTCTAATACCTGGCTACTCAAAGTGTGGTCCGAGGACCGGCCGACCTGGGGGTTGATTAGAAATCACCCTCTCGGGCCTGCTGCAACTTAACCGGATTCCCAGCCAAATTCAAGGGGTCCCGCTGACCCCCAGAACCAGAGGGAGGGGACTCGGAGCAGCTGGACTTGTAGCCACGGCCGTTCCCAGGGCTCCCGGGCCCCCCATACATGCCCACCGGGAAGCACTAAATGAAAAGGAGATCTTAGGGAACCACTGTCAAAGGAAGGCAGGTCAACAGCCTCCAGCTCGCCCTGGAGAGGGGCCGAGGTGGGGCTCCGGGCACCCCTCCCCCTCCTCTGCCACCTGCCAAGGCCGCCCCGCTTCTCCTCTGACCCCCCCCCCCTCTCCCAGGGGCACCCCCTTCCAAACTGCATGGGGCTCCCACGCTCTGGTCGCGCTGGCCCCAGCCCCCGGGCCTCCAGCCCCACCGAAGGCGCCGAAGGAGAGAAAAGTCGACTCACTTCGGTGCCCTCTCAAGCCCCCACTCCACTTCCATCAGCCCCGCAGCCGCTGGCTCCCCGGCTCCACTCCGCGGTCACTTCCTGCTTCCCTCCCGGCACACGTGTCCCCCGGCCTTGAGGCCCCGCCCCCACTGCTGCGACTGGCAGATCGGGCCGGGAGAATAAATTCTCTGGTTCACAGCCTCTGCGGGCTCGGCAGCAGATCGGGGCGGGTGGAACAGAGCCCTGCAGAACCCTCTGCAATCTTCCAAGAAGCCCCAGAAACCCAAGGAAAGAACACCTTTCGCAACGTCCCTGTTACCATTTATGTTGCTACACTTTGGCAGCTGAGTCCAACGCCCTGGGTGAGCAACAGAGCAGGAAGCGTTTGGAGAGGGTGGGGAATGGAATCTCCCACCATCAGCATCCTTCTCTAGGTCAATGGCCCTCAAACTATAGCGTCCAGGGGAACCACCCAGAGAGATGTCAAAACACAGAATGCTGGCACCCTCAGAGCTTCTGGTTCTGGAAGCCTGGGTGGGGCCCGAGGTTTTCTGTTCTGAATGAGTTGTTGCTTTTGCTCTGGTCCTGGGACCCCGCTCTTTAAGAACTGCTGCTTTGCTCTCCAGGCCTTCTAGAAAAAGACCTTAGGGTAAGATAGCTAGACTTAGCCAAAAATAAAGACAGGATGCCCAGTTAAGTTTGAATTTTAGATAAACAACAAATAGTTTTTTAGTGTAAGTATATCCTGGGCAGTATTGGGGACATACTTATGCTAAAAACATATTTCATATTTGTTGCTGATCCGAAATTCAAATGTAACGGGTGTCCTGTATTTTATCTGATGACCCTACCAGAGGGTAACCAGAAACACTGCCCGTAATCACAGTGGTCACAGACCAGAGGATCCAATAGGAGCAGACCACTTTTGTCCATAGTTGTGGGCACTGATGATTGCACCAGATCCATGCACCGGGCCAGGAAGGGAAGACGGCGTGTGGTGACAGTAGCTGGTTTCTGTCTTCAGGAGATTCCCAGACCAGGGAGAGAGCCAGACCAGCTGTCTTAGTCAGCTTGGGCTGCCGTAAGAAAATACCACAGACTGGGTGGCTTAAACAATCGACACCTGTTTTCTCACACTTCTGGAGGCTGCAAGTCCAAGATCAGTCCAAGATCAAGGTGCAGATTCAGAGCCTGGTGAGGGTCTCTTCCTGGTCTACAGATGGCTGCCTCTCACTGTGTCCTCACATGGCCTTTTCTTGGTGCACACACAGGAAGGAAGAGAGAGGGATCTCTCTCTCTCTCCCTCTTCTTGTAAGGCTTCCAATCCTATCAAATGAGAAGCCCACCCTTATGGCTTCATTTAACCTTCATTACCTCCTAAAAGCTCTATCTCCAAATGCAGTCCCACTGGGGGTTAGGGCTTCGGCATATGAATTTCATGGGTGGAGCCCTCATGAATGGCATTGTTATCCTTATAAAACAGGCTCCAGAGAGCTCCCTTGCCCCATCTGCCATGTGAGGATACACAAGAAGTCTGTAAGCCAGATAAGGCCCTCACCCAACCACGCTGACACCCTCATCTCAGACTTCCAGCTACCAGAACTGTGAGCAATAAATTTCTGTTGTGTATAAGCTACCCAGTCTGTGGCATTTAGTTACAGCAGCACGAAAGGGACTAAGACACCCCATTTTACAGATA